CGGAGCGACGATATCGAAGGCGAGATCATCGACTAACGCGTCAAGCCGCCTGCCATTCGGGGTTGTGGTGTGTGAGTTCCACCTGATGTGTTTACAATTTAGGTCGCCCGCCAGAATGACAGAGCTCCCCATACCGAGCAGCGCCTCGATATCACTGCTTAGAACGATCTTATCCGGTGGAAGATAAACGGACGCGATAACGATCGGCGCGTGTCCCGTCAGTGAGATTCGGCACACTGATGCTTCGATATTAGCGAGCGCGGGAGGATCGAGCGGGACGCAATGCAGGGCTCTTCTATAGTAAATGACGGTACCACCACCACGGGCAGAGAGCCTGTCGTTCCTGACCATGTTATAGTTCGCGATTTTAGGGTCACGGCGCACATCAATCATGTTTACGAATACATAATATGGTCCGGTGCATTCGTATTGAGCGATGCACCGGTGTTCGAATCCCGCAGGCGGGTACCAATTTTTCTAATGAAATACGTACTTAACAAATGTTCACGATTGACTTCCACGGTGAAGGAAAATAATAATTTGCTTAGTTACTGGTGGTAGGACCTCTTGAGTCCGCGCGGGTAGTCTACTACCACCCTGCCTATTTCTACCGTGAAGCAGTAATGCGTTTCGGTTTGAAGTTGTATGGGCTCCGATAACCACTTAACAGAAGACGTGAATCGCTCCCATTTATTTTACTACTCCTAAATACATCACGAACTAACATTACCTATAGTTTTAAGTTCAAAATCATTCTTTTTTTTTAAAGTTTATCCAAATTATGAATTGCACGCTTTTTATTTTCAAACCTCGATAGTGAATGAATCGGTTGCAGTGAGTCCTTTGGTAGATCCGTGAGCGGTGACGGTGAATGTGTGAGTTCCAATGTCCTGGTACTGTGGGATGCCGCTAATAAGACCGTGCCTCGAATCCACCGCCAGCCAGTTCGGTGTACGCCTCCCGTGGTCGCTGCGAACCTTAACAAAAAAAAAAAAAAAATGTCAGTGTAATGTTTTCTATAAAAGAGACGGTGCAAAGGTATTCCATTTGAGCTTATGGCTGTTCGTCTATGGCTTAATGAGCTCCGATCTAGAAGCTAGCGTCCGAGTTGCGAAAGCGCAAAGAACTTTATCTGGTCTTATTTAAGATTGCTCATTCTGCAGAGCTCAAACGAGATTAGCTAACTATTGATTGTCTGTGGAAAATCGAGTCGATCCGCTCCGTATTTCCGAGCTTTGCTGATTTGATGTAAGTACTTGAAGAACGAGAGCTCGAAATTTTGTCCCATCATTGTTTTTTTCAGTAATTAATTAAAATGTAATCATCAGTAAGCAATTTTTCAGATCCAATAGACATTATTTGTTAACGCAGTAGCAGTAGCGCGAAACTATGTAGCGTACAAACACTTTCTATATTTGAAAATCACTACTAGACAATTTCTGGAGCTATGAAATTCACTCGATAATTATTTATGAAATAAGAGTTAAGTTAGATTAAAAGATGAAATTGTTTACGTAACAATAGCGTTAATTTATTGACGTAAATTTTGTTTTAAATCTGCAATATTTTATATGTAGAATGACCTCATGAAATGAAATGAAGACATGGCAATTTTCTATACTTGTATTGGAATTAGATGTAATGTAATTTGACCTGTGTTTTTGTTGAAACACAATAAAAATTCTCTACGTTTCCACTGTTGCTACGTAGCCTTGATGAAATTTGTTGTGAAGTAATGAAATTTTGTGTTCTTAATACAACATAAAAATACAATGTATAAGATTTCTTTGTATTCCGCAGCAAAACTTTGTACAAACAAGTTTAAACAGCTGTTTCCTTTACACACAGTGATAATAACTTGGGAAATTAAAATGTACTGTAATGTAATTTGTAATTTACACAATATTACCGTTTACGTAAATTCGAAATAATTTTTGTTTTACAGTCATTGGTTTTTTACTTATATCATTAAAAAAAAACAAAAAAAAAGTTTTTATCAAGCGACTTGGTTAAAATCGATTTTTGAATAATTTCTTTTCTGATTGAAACTTACTTTATAAGCAACAACTTTTCCGGAGAACGCTTCCTTGGGGATTTCCATGCGGAACAGATGTCCTACATAGGCCAACGTGTCGGGTACACCCCACAATCTCCTTAGGCCATTCTTAGCTATCTCTGAGTGGTTTGCCGTTAATTCAACCTGAAAATGTTATTAATAAGTCGCACACTCACTAATACACTACAAAACAGTAGAAACCGTCTTGTGAGCCCGCACGGGTAGGTACCACCGCTCTGTCTGTTTTTGTTGACAAGTAGGTATTAGAGTTACGAAGAGATTCACAGTCGTGCTATAGAGTTGAATCTTAGAACTCATATCTCTAGTTGAATGGCGGTCTTTACATCGTCAATTTCTATGGGTTACGATAACCACCTAAAACCAGGTGTTACCATAAAAAGGAATCGATTTTTTCGAAATGTTTACAGGTATTCGAATAAGCCTGAACAACAAAACAGAAACAGTTTCATGAAAACAAGATGCAGAAACAAAAAAAAATCGTATAGGTCTCTTTCTAGTTTTAAAAATTCACAAACGTTCAATTATATAATGACTCTTTTACATACCAACGATTGAGAATGCATAGATACTTGTGTATGAAACTAACGGTAATTCATACGTCGCGAATTTTGGCACCTGCGGATGTGGCTACGCAATATGCAACCAAGGCGATCAGTATTCCAAGACAGTTAACAAAGCTATTCTGGCTATGATTTATTGCAGTGGGAAGTGCATGCAACACCCACATGGTGGCTATGACTAATACGTTCCATAATCTAAAACCATGGCTTATTTTGACGGAAGAGGATACGTTATTGCTCCTTCATTACTTATAATTACTTTATTGTTCTTTGTTTTCTTGTTTGGGTTTTATAACGTTATGAATAGCCAATCGCTGATATTATAATACTGTTATAAACGTGTGTCTTAAGTAAAATTCTTAAAAAAAATTACGCTTTTTTATATACAAAAACAACAAATGTTTTGATTTGGTTTTATATTTTAAAGAGGAAGTAAGGGAGAAAAAATGTTTAGTTCGACTTTCTAGTTAGGCGTGATCTTCAGTTTTTCAAGCTATATTGCACCTTTAGCAGCTAGAGTGCGCTGGGGAGACACTTTCTTACAACTTATTTGATTATAATTATTTTGAAACCAAACGGCATTAACATTAAACAAAAAAAATAAAAATAAAAAAAATTGACCTGTTGGCTTTTGTTATATTACTATCAAAGTTTCTATTGGACATTTCGCAAATGGCATTAAAATACGCCTCCACTGATCAAGTATGTTGCAAAACCTCTACAAATGTTTCCGCACTAGTTATTCGGCTGAAATGATTTAGCTCGGTACGCAAATTTCGTTAAGTGAGCGATCCACTGACCTGGAATTCTTCGCTATTGTCGAAAGCGAAGTCGTCGTCGTGCCGACTGAGAGCAAGAGGACACAGCAAGAGTAGCGCGCACGCGATGTACCTTGCGCACCCCATCTTCAACACTCACGCACAATGCTCCCAACAACTCTCATAAACTCATCTTGATGATCTGAAACAATAGACCGTGTACACAATGACATCGTTTGTAAACATGATCGCATATTGTTTGAATGTTTATATTGTTCGATTTGTTTTGTATCGGAATACTATATCCGGATATGTGCTTTAATAGTTAGCACATAATTGTTCGTTTTTATAAATTATTTTTTGCTTGGATGTCGTATCTATCGGTCAGTGCATCTTTGAAAAAAAAAAGGTTTGATATATTCGACACCATTATTCATTAGGAAGTTAGAAAGCCATTTATAAAACCCCACAAAACATAAAGGAATAATGCGAAAGATTTTGACACAGATTTCTTTGATGTACTCATTGCGTGTCGTAGTCAGATTTCTGTTAAATATCCAAATACAAATGACATGGTAATATAGAAAAAGGAGTAGGGACGGCAAACGGAAATGAGACCGGTACTGTTACACAGTTAAAGGCGCGTGGCGGCGCATAATGATTGGACACAAATAGAATGAGCTTTTGAACACTCCCCGCCTTCCTTAGCATGCTGTCGCGAAACCCACTTCAGGGAATACTTTTATATTCCTTTTAGAATTAATAGCGCTCGTACCGGCAAAGAAAACGCTCGAGTATCTTTGCATTAACATTTATTTGTAAGAAATAAGGTTTGTCCCTAAAGTACGAATGAATCGAACAGTGAAATATCAGCTTGTTTGATCGAACAGATTGGTACTTACGAGATATGACGTCGGCCTAAGGAGCAAACAATCGGAACCCTCGTTATCTCAGGGGAAAGGGGCTTAAGAAAACTGATGGTAATGTTGCGGTTATTAGAAAATGTGATTTTTAGAGCGTAATTATCTTGAATTAGTTAGCGTATTTGAAAATAAAGATTTAAAGCACAGTAAATAAACTTTTAGTAAGTTGAATACTATTTATAACGGTGAATACTAATTCACTATAGGTAAAATTTGAATCGATTAACTATAACACTCCACTTAAATATTTAAAATAATGGTCACGTATAAGGTAATTGGGTCTTTCCAAATTAAAAGCACTCCTCTGTGATAAAGGGTCAAGTTCTTATGAACTGCGAGCCATTAGCGCTTAAAAGCTTCAACTGCTGTAAATGTTCGCAGGACGTAAATCATTATTTCTGTCAAGAATGGCACGGCACCAACTTCGTTTAAGAGGTCGAGGAACACTCCCTATATTTTACGACTTATGTGATATTTCTTGGGTAAATTTGTAATAAGCATTAATTCACCAAAACGGACTTTAAATCATTAAATATCATTAGCAATAATTCAAGAACTTGGGAGTCTCAAAATTAAGGTTTGACATAATTAAAATTAATTTTGCGATTTAATCACGCGCTATTTTTTGATTTTGTCACTTCCGACGCTTCGAGTACTTTATAGTTTTCGTGGTCACTGACGACTAAGGCGTTATCCATCGGCATTTGAATATTGTTAGAAGTCGTCGTGGCCTAAAGGATAAAGACGTCCGGTGCATTCGTGTGAGCGATGCGCCAGTGTTCGAATCTCACGATTGACTTCCACGATGAAGGAATAACAACGTGTAATAAAAATCAAACCCGCAAAATTATAATTTGGGTAATTACTGGTGTTAGGACCTATTATGAGTAAGTAAACAAAAAAAAAAACATTCTCAGCTTTGGCCAGGCTACCCTTAAAGTGCTGATGGTTTATAGAATAGATTCCTCGCAGAGACTGGAATGGCTTTTCCTATCTATTCGCTGGTAACCCAAGAGACTATTCCACTTACTCCCGGACGAGTAGGTGAGCTCACGGGCTCAACCTGAACTGGAATGCTTTGAAATCCTTAATAAACTAAGTGGACGTAATAATATAGTTTTGTCTACTTGGAAATTTTGGTGCCAAGGGAAATGAAATGACTGACGATGTAGCGTAAACAGGACTAGGAATGGCAGTAATAAAACCTGAACCATATTAGAATTACAGTGAGGGACTCCTGCAAAATTAAATTCTCCTTCAATTTATTTTACGTGCAAACGAACTCAAAGCCTATCTGGTTTTAAAGTGATTACTGCAGCCCACAGAGCTCTCAACGTGAATTCCGCCACACATCTTGAGATCCGAAACCGAAGTCTAAATTGTTCCGTATAACGGCTGTCCTACACTTCAAACCAAACCGCACGGCTGCTTCGCTTCGATGGTGGTACCAACTCGTAAGGGCTTGCAATACGCCATAGAAACCATCCTATCAGCAAATACAAGTTGGCAATCGTAGTCCGCTGGTATGATTCTCAGATAACGATGTTACCCATTCTTCGGCGTATCCGTTTAACGTCTTTTAGAACCGTGGAAAGAATGATGCTATTGTAGGTCAGGTCTTTGCTTGCTAGACCGAAGGTTGTCCGGTACCTGTATTACTTTATTTCTATTTTGTAAATATGGAACAAGGACGTATAAATAGCGCGCTGCGAAACCATAAATTGCGTCCCTGCACTGATACAAATGAGATTTTGTAAACGTCGCTTAAAATTACAAAATGGCTCACCCATTCCAATCTTATGAATACGTTTACTAAGTAGTCAAGTATTTTCTTATCACTTCTCATGTCATCGCACAAATTATTTGTGATATAGCACATTATCTAATGAAAATTAAACATCATTAAACTCATTTAATTACTTCTTGTATCTACAGCTAAATTTAATAGTTTTATAGTTTAAATAATATATTTATATAATACACAAAAATAAGGAAATCAAATTTAAGACGCAATTTATTTGAAAATTTCATATATACATTTAAATTTCCCCTGTTTATAAATTCATACAATGCTCAAAAAAATCAATTTAAGTTTCGTAAAGCATTCTATTTTAAGTTTGCAAGAGCTTTGGATGCTGCCAGGCACTTCGAGGGCTTACCCTTACGTCGCGAGGGGTCGAATAAGAGGGTTACCACAATGGATCTTTTCCCCCGACGAAGTCTCTACACGATTCTGTATAAATATTATTCTCATAGCTTCCAAAATTAAACACGACGATCATATTTTGATTAAAACCCGTTCCTTCAGGCGAAACACTTGAAAGTAAGTGTAATAGATTTGTAAAATAACAGACATAGCATTTTTATGAATTAAAATTTCTAATTTTTGTTATGTGTGATAGGGTCGATTTGCATTAAGACAGTAAAGAATCTTACTTTATATTACGAGTATAGAAATGATAAAAAAAAGCTGAATCGTTGAATTCAAATCGAATAAAGAAGTGACTTGGTACTAAACGGTATTTTTGCCATTGCAGTACTACAGACCACTTTACGGCCAACTTCGTCTTAACTGGTTACCGTTGTATATGGAGATCGACCGTGCAAGGGACGGTGCCGGGTTGCTACCTACCGTTATGGATAGCATTTCCAAAGACACGACAGTAATGGTGGATTGAGAACAGTACTTGTCAGATGGCATAACAGTATTACATTCTATACTTTACCTAAAAACGTATTCGATGCACCTGAGATAAAGCAGTCACTGGAGCACCACGATATGATTACAGGTACTTTGAGACATGAAAAAAACTAACTGCGTTAAAATTGTATATGAACGCTTTGCGTCCGAAATGCCCGGACCCATTAACAGAGTTTAGTTTAGAAAATACCACCGACGAATTATGACGAAGTAGTGATAGTAACTCATAGATTTAGGATGATATCGATAGCTTCTGATTTGTAACAAAACAGCATGGACGATTTTGTGGTCATCTGGCATAATATTGCGAATATAGGAAATGCCCGGACCCATTAACAGAGTTTAGTTTAGAAAATANGTTAGCGTTGTCCGTGCTGAGATTAGCTTGCAAGGGCCAGTGCTGCTCGAAGCCTGCGGTGAGTCGAGGCTGAGCTTGAATGCTGCGTGCGTGTCGCCAGTGCTGCTCGAAGTTTGCAGTGAGTCGAAACTGAGCTGAATGCTGCGTGATTGTCGCCAGTGCTGCTCGAAGTCTGCGGTGAGTCGAGACTGAGCTTGAACGTTGCGTGCGTGTCGTGCGTAGTCCATGTGATGCAGAGCTGCCACGCCGGAGATGTGTGACCCCAAGCGTTGATGATCCGGTCGTGGGCTGCGATGAACTGTAGCGGCGTGATGAAGCAGTGAAGTTGCGTGCCGTAGGACCAGGAAGCGCGGTGAGTCGGCTACGATGGTCCTGTTGAGGCTGCGATGCTGGCTTGCTGTGGGACGACTGTCAATGACGTGCTTTTATCTGCGAGAATGCGGGGATTGTGGTAGCCGAAGTTCATGATGCGCTGATGATGAATCAGAAGGTTGCGTGTTCACATCACGTCGGAGGTCACCAGTTTGGGAATATACGACGAAAGGAAGATCTTCCACCGAGCGGGTGACATTGCTCGGTAGACCGACGGTCCGAATGTTGTTGTTCGGAACTTGTATATATGCGCTTTATCTTGAAAATGTCGTAAGCGAGATTCAGGCATCTGTCAATTATCTTGCGTTGTATGATGGCTACCCGCCACATAAGCATTAATTCACCAAAACGGACTTTAAATCATTAAATATCATTAGCAATAATTCAAGAACTTGGGAGTCTCAAAATTAAGGTTTGACATAATTAAAATTAATTTTGCGATTTAATCACGCGCTATTTTTTGATTTGGTCACTTCCGACGCTTCGAGTACTTTATAGTTTTCGTGGTCACTGACGACTAAGGCGTTATCCGTCGGCATTTGAATATTGTTAGAAGTCGTCGTGGTCTAAAGGACAAAGACGTCCGGTGCATTCGTGTGAGCGATGCGCCAGTGTTCGAATCCCAGGCGGGTAACAATTTTTCTAATGAAATACGTACTCAACAAATGTTCACGATTGACTTCCACGGTGAAGGAATAACATCGTGTAATAAAAATCAAACCCGCAAAATTATAATTTGCGTAATTACTGGTGTTAGGACCTATTGCGAGTAAGTAAACAATAAAAAAATTAACATTCTCAGCTTTGGCCAGGCTACCCTTAAAGTGCTGATGGTTTATAGAATAGAT